AATGGCTAACCTCGCGGATGGAGCAGGAGACCCGTCAGGGATACTGGACTATTCCATCTATTTATGCACCATCTCCACCTTCTTGAGAATCCCTTCCACCACAAGTCAGGAAAAGGCCTGCCCCTCCCACCTCATCTCTCTCACACTATTCTATGGGACTTTGACTATTGTCGACATGTTGCCAAGGTCCAGTTCATTGAGAGACCTGAGCAAAGGGTTCTCTCTCTTCTGTACGATGCCCATATCTATCGCCTGCAGAATACAAAGTGCATTTCATTTTAAAAGAGGAGAAGAGGTTCTGCCTGTTGAATACGTTAGAGGAGGGTAGCTGAGTGAACAGAAAAAAAAGATATAGACTCAGGTTGTCAAAGGAGTTCACAGAAGTTATTTAAAGTTCCAGGGAGTTGGACTTGTCAATTCCTTTAGACTTTTTGCCAATCCCACTGAATTTGGAGGAGGACAGAATCAATGGGGAAGAGTCCTGGGTAGATTTGTGCTGCAAGTTTTAGCTTTTTGGTTTATTTTCCCACATTCCAGGAGTCTGGACAGCAATGAAATAGCCCCATGAACCCTCATCTGCTGTCACAGGACAGTTGTAGTTCTTCAGTGCCCTGGGCTACGCCTAGATTGCAGGCTTTTTTTGGAAGGAGCTTTTCCAGAAGAGATCTTCTGGAAAAACTTTGTCCGAAAGAGAGCATCCACACTGCCAAAGTGCACCAATAAAGCGATCTGCTTTTTCAAAGGTAGCGTCCACACTGAATGGACACTCTCTTGCATTTCAGCTGTGACTACTATCAACAGAGTGGCCATCAGGGCACCTGTGCTTTCTCCTCTTGCCTCTTCTTCCAAAAGAGCTCCCTCTTCTTTGTCCACACAGGCCTTTTTCCGAAAGAACAGTTTCGGAAAATGTTTTTTTCCCTGTAGAAAGAGGATTACGAATGTCAGAAAACCCTCTCTGTTTTTTTTATTTTCTTCCAAAAGAACGTAGTTGCAGTGTGGATATCATTTAAGTTTTGTAGGGACGGATGTTTTTCCAAAAACATTCAGTAGTGTAGACGCACCCCTGGGAGACATTTTGGGAATGCATTCAAAAATGCCTTGTCTTTCAACCCCGGAAGTAACATCCTGCAGTGTAGCCTGGAGCTTTCATAAGTCCTCAGTTCTGAGCCAACCCTGAGTCACCTTTCCCTATTACAAGCATTGTTATGAGGACTGGGTTGTGAGGTCACATGGTTAAACTAAACCAGTTGGTCCCACCATCAGTCCCAGTAGAGCTGTAGACTCTCACCACTCGTCCGGCCTGTGCAGCTGTGTGAGGGCCTGCTCTGGACCAGCCTAGCCAGCCACAACTGGGGTTCACAGCCAAGAGCAGACTAACTAATAAGCATACCTGTGAGATCCATTCTTACCGGTACGCTTTCCAGTTACCTATAGAACATCCCTATCTATTATTACAATGCCACTAGAGCATAAATATGAAGCATTTTGTGCCAGACAGCTCACGTCAGGTGTCATCGGCATGGTGATGATTTGGGGAATGTGCTGACACAATTTGTATTCCTGCCTTAGTGTTGTATCGCAAATTATGAATAAGGATCATGTCTCTTTATTCCCCATGTATTTATACAGTGGTACCCTCTCTGGGGAAGGTGCTTTCAGTGCAGACAGATCGCTGAGCCATGTAACGAAACATTAGGGAAAACAACAGGCCTCAGGAGAAGCCAAACTCCCCCAGCGTGAGCCTTTCTGAGAACTCTCCAGCGAGCCTAAAATTAACAGTCGTCGTGATTCCACAAGGGCAGGGGAACAGACCGCTTGGCTCCAAGTCTTGGGATATCGCTGTTTTTCCACAGTCCAGTCTAGGGAGCTATTTTGAAACAAAGGATCCTACACTTTGCCAGATTTATATAAGGCAGGGGGTGAAATCAGTGGTTTTCACTCCCCATACAAAAGAATTCCTGCAGAGACCTGAGGAAGATGGACTGACCTGCGCAAAGGGCTGGATCCAGGTTAAAAGCATCTTACCTGCTGTCTGGAGACCGGAAAACCCCAAGCTGCAAAGAAAATGCAACTTGCACCTTGAGAGTCTGCTAGATGGCCACTGTTATCTCAGGGTGAGAATCTGTCCTTCCTACTGACTCTGATCCGGGCATGCTGCTGAGTTTGTCTTTGTTTAGTTGCTGATAATGTGCTTTGACCGGTTTGCTGTCCCATTCAGATACACTGTTTGGAGTTAATCAGCTTGTTTGTAGTTTTACCTAAATCAGTGAGGCTACGTCTACACTGCAGGATTTTTGCACAAGAACAACTGTTCTTGTGCAAAAACTTGCAGAGCGTCTCCACTGTACGTACGTTCTTTCACAAGTAAATTTATAGTAAAGCGCCGGAATATAGGGCTTCCTGTGCAAGAGTTATTCCTCTGCCCACAAGGAATAAGTCCTCTAGTGCAGGAGCTCTTGTGTAAGAAGGCAGTGTGGATGGGCAACAGGGGTTTCTTGTGCAAGACACTCCTATGGCTAAAATGGCCATCAGAGCATTCTTGCACAAGAGAGTGTCCATAACGCCATGGATGCTTTTGTGCAAAAGCACATCTCTTGTGCAAAGGACATGGCAGTGTGGACGTGCTCTTGCATAAGACCTTTTGCACAAGAACTCTTCTGCAAAACAGTTCTTGCACAAAAAGCCTGCAGTGTAGACGTAGCCTGAGTGTTGAAGTGAAATATCTGGGGGGAAGATATGACCTTGGTCAGCACATGTGAGCGTTACCCCCTCTGCGGTAAGGGGCTGGGAGAAGAGGGTAACAAATTACTACCGATCAGTGGTTTAACCTGGCTGCTGGTAGTTCTCTTGCCTGTAACTCCCCTTGTGCCGTGTCCAGTCAGGGAGCCTGGCTCGTCTCTGCAGATGGGTGGGTCCCTGTTGTGTGGGTGCAGGAGGAAGGGCAGGAGTGGGGTGTTGTCTGCCACTGGCCACAGCAGCACAGTGCGAGCGGGATCCCAGGCTGGTGGCTCAGAGGCTCAGTGGATCCCCAGTTCTAGGTAGAACCTTGGGGGCCACAGCCCAGATGAGCTGTAGGAAAACCTGCCTAGGATGAGCAATGGGCGGCTCTCGGATTTGGAACATAAGAACGGCCAGAGTGGGCCAGTCCAAAGCTCCATCTGCCCCAGTGCCCTGTCTCCCAGCACTGGCTGAGACCAGCGGTTTCGGAGGGGATGAACCAAAGAGGCAGGAATCAAGTGATTCATCCCCTGTCACCCATTCCCAGCTTCTGGCAAACAGAGCAGATTATGGGAAAACATGTGATTGACGTTAGGTATGTACTTGTACAATGAACCAAACTAGGCAACGTCAGTTCATCTCCAATTCATCCCAAGTCACGTAACACTGTCCGGTGGGGGTGATACTACTGGAGAGAGCCTGGTGTTTGTTGGGCTGCTTTGGGAATGTCATCAGATAGGTGCTTCCCCTCAAGTCAGCTCCCCTTCTGCAGCCTTGTCAATCATTTTTCTTCTAGCAGATGCAAAACAGAGGCCAAACCGCCCTTTACCTCACAACCTCTTACCTCTTATTTTCACGAGACCTTTGCAGCTCCAGCAAAGACGCGCACTCATTGAGTACATTTTTTGGGTCAGGTCCTTTCTAGTAGGAAGGCAACAGTTATTTTCCCCACATCAGTCTCTCCTCTCCACTCTACAAATATACACTAGCAGAGTACAGGCGTGGTTTACAATACAGCCATCCACTTCCTCCTTTCCCGTCCTGCTTACTCAAGTGTTTGCCACTCACCAATGTCCCTGTGCATTTCTACCCCACATGCAGAATGAATTTTGTTAGGTGAGGTAATCTCAAGTCTCTGCAAAACTCATAAGACCCTCGCAATCAAGAAATAATCTAGATATTAAACATTTTTTGCAGTGAGAGTGATTACTCCATCCATGACACATTAGACTTTGGAAAGTTCACTACTCAAAGAATAAAATGGAAGTACGAGATGGATTGCACTGACTAATTCAGAAATTACAGTAAGAACACAAATGACAGAGATGAAATTTGCCACTTATCAATGTCCCAGCACTTTTCTACCCCATGTGCAGAATGAATTTTGTGTTGTGCAGTAATATCAAGGTAACATGGGACTATGCACGACTGTCACAAAAAAAATTGGCCACAGGGGTAATTACTCCATCCAGGATGCATTAGACATTGGAGGATGCACTTCTCAAAGATTTAAATGGAGAATTAAGTGAGAGAGACATTCCCATGGTTGAATGTTCAATAACCATCCTTTCCAATCTACTGACTTTTGTTATGTCCTCTAGATTGTCCGATAGGACACTGACACGATGCAGATATTTCCAAATCCCAGCCTCAAAGTATTTATTTAAAAATCAAGAGAGTTCAAGGCAGTTGGGAAGGATGTTTCTGTCACCTAAGAGGATAAGTTCCATGATGGGCGTTTGATTTCCTCCTTCCATTTGCTCCGTGGTTTGTACCTAGAAACAAAAAAGCATCAGATAGTCACAGAGCACATGCAGACAGGTTGTGTCGCTGGCTACATTCCTGCAAAGGTGAGGGAAGTAGTTTTGTGCCTCTGCATCTCTCCACTTGAAAAATGACGTTGTCGATAAGTAGACAAAGATTCTTTCCATTAAGAGGTCGCGTGTCCAATAGAAGGGAATCAAGAGCACTGGATCTTAGGGTGTGTCTAGACTGCAGGCTTCTTTCGAAAGAGCCTCTTTCGAAAGATGCTTTCGAAAGAGGCTCTTTCGAAAGAAGCCTGCAGTCTAGACACACCCTAAGATCCAGTGCTCTTGATTCCCTTCTATTGGACACGCGACCTCTTAATGGAAAGAATCTTTGTCTACTTATCGACAACGTCATTTTTCAAGTGGAGAGATGCAGAGGCACAAAACTACTTCCCTCACCTTTGCAGGAATGTAGCCAGCGACACAACCTGTCTGCATGTGCTCTGTGACTATCTGATGCTTTTTTGTTTCTAGGTACAAACCACGGAGCAAATGGAAGGAGGAAATCAAACGCCCATCATGGAACTTATCCTCTTAGGATTAGGGAACGGCCCTGAACTGCAGTCCCTCCTCTTCGTGCTGTTTCTAGTCATCTACCTTGTGGCTGTGGCCGGGAACCTCCTCATCATCGTGCTAGTGGTGACTGATCCGCACCTTCACACCCCCATGTACTACTTCGTGGTCGGCTTGTCTGGTGTGGAGATCTTTTATGTCTCCACCACCCTGTCCTGGCTGCTGGCCAGTCTCGCAACTGGGGACAGAACCATATCTCTACAGAACTGCTTTGTGCAATATTTCTTGTACATTATCCTTGCCAATGCAGAAAGTCTGCTGCTCACAGCCATGTGTTGCGATCGGTATCTAGCGATCTGCCACCCCCTCCGCTACGCTGCTCTGATGAACATCCAGATCTGTTGCCACATGATAGCAGGGTCCTGGATAATCAGCATTTTATACTGTTTCACGTTCCATATGTTCATTTTGCAATTCAGATACTGTGGTCCTAAAGAAATTGACCATTTCTTTTGTGATTTTGCAGTCCTTTCAGAGCCGTTCTGTGGGGCTGACATCCAGACTATGCACCTGGTGGCATTTCTTGTGACTGTCATCTTGACTGTTGTGGTTTTTTTGTTTATCCTGACAACCTACATTTGCATCATCGCCAACATCCTGAGAATCTCTTCCAGCACCGGGAGGCAAAAGGCCTTTTCCACCTGCTCCTCCCACCTCATTATGGTTGCAGGTTACTATGTGAGCTCAATAATAGTCTATGTCGTTACGCTCTTCAACCCTCCCGTGATCCTCTACAAAATATTGTCTGTGTGGTTTGCAATCCTGATCCCCGTGCTCAACCCTGTCCTGTACTGCCTGAGAAACAAGGACGCCCATAAGGCCCTGAGAGATGGTCTTCTGAAACTGGCTGCTTTCAGACACAGGCCTGAAGTGTGAAAGGTCAGATTTTGGTGTAAAGAAAAATTGAGATGAAGTGAAATGTTTTCTTACCTATTTAACTTCTTGAGAACAAGGTTGTCTCCTCATTGAACTTACTCCATCTTTCTTTCTTTCTTTCTTTCTTTCTTTCTTTCTTTCTTTCTTTCTTTCTTTCTTTCTTTCTTTCTTTCTTTCTTTCTTTCTTCTACAGCTAGAAAGAATGAGAAAAAAATAAATTTTGAGGAAGGATAGAAGTCTACATATCCGTCCAAATAAAATTTCCTGATGGTGCATACTCTTTGCTGAGTTAAGGCAAGACTGAAATCTTGATATCATTTTAGAAGAGTCGCCGTGATCGTCTGAATCTGCAAGAACAACAAGAAGTCCTGTGGCACGTTATAGATTAACAGATGTATTGGAGCACAAGCTTTGTTGTTGCATCTGATGACGTGGGTCTTTGCCTAGGAAAGCTTATGCTCCAATATATCTGTTAGGCTATAAGGTGCCATAGGACTTCTCCTTGTTATTATAGATGCTGAGATCAATATAGATATTGCCACATATATAGTAGATGCCAAAAGCAAACGCGTGGCCCTGGTTTTCAGGGCTCATGAGACCCAGCGTCCCTCCCTATCCAAATAAAGAGAAAGGGTTGAATGACAAAGAACAGGAAATGGACATCCAAAAGCCGTAGGCCACTTTACTAATCCCAGCCTAGAGCGTTTCACACGGGCCTCATCTGCCCCAAGCCAAAATGTGATATTTTTACCAAAGAACGTACCATCCATTCTTGACAAACAAGTGACCTAAAGAATAAAATCTAAGAGTCACTCTGATGTTTGCTTGTCCTCCAGAATGTTGAACCTTTTTTTCCTGAAAAGATATCAAGATTCCCCTTCCCTTGTTTCAACTGGTTAGACACTGATTGCTCCCCTAACTATCCCCACCACTGTCCTGTTGTCCCCTAACGCGGGGCCTACAAGGTGCACAGAGGGAGGTGTCTATAACTAGTGGTATCCTTTATCCGGCTTTGTGTGGATGAAGAGTTGGTTTCTTCAGCAAAAATGATTCTTTCATTTAACTGTGGAGTATCTGGTATTGGCCACTGTGGGCAGACAGGACACTGGGCCAGATGGCCCTTTGGTCTGACCCCGTCTGGCCGTTCTGATGTTCTTGTAACTCAAATGGGCTGGATCGTCTTAGCAAAAATCTACGAAAATCTTTCAAGACTTAAATGTTGGGCAGCAACCATGATCCTTTGTGGGGTACAGCGTGTGTGTGTGTGTGTATGTGTGTGAGATCCACGTTCAGTATCCCCCCTGCTGGATGAGGAGGAAGTCCTCAGTCTCACACATTGGGAACAGGTGCCCATCTGTCTCACTCCTGTTAGAGGGTTCGATTTGGTTTCAATAGTTAACAGGGAGTTCCGCTTTTTGGTCTCCCGCAGCCAAATGTTCATCTTAGCTACCAGCCTGCAGAACCATCCTTGGACTTGCTTTCTGGCCCAGTGACTAGTCCTAAGTGACAGTGAGTGGCCATTGGGCAGGGCAAAGAGAGTGAGAGCGACGGCCTAGCCTAGTGGTCAGGTCTTTCTTTCCCAGAACGGCCAGAGACGCGAAATATCAGCCCAGCTGGCAGGACAAAAGTGCACTCTGAATTGCTTGTGCGTAAGAAACCACTGTGAAAAAGAAGACTTCTCAGTTCTCTTCCTAGCTCAGCCACCAACTCGCTGTAGGCCAGTATCTTTGTCACAAAGTAATTCGGCTTAATCCAGAATGTGGTGTATTGCAAACAGTGTTAAAATGACCAGCTTGCCCGCCGAGTGTCAGGGTCTACCCCTTTAATGGCTCCGGGGCTGGGGGAGAGGAGAGTAAGTTTTCCCGGTTGTGCCCAGAGTGGCCACCAAGCCTCCATAGGAAGGGCTGGAGGCCCCCTATTTCGAATTAAGTGTCTACACAGCACATAATTCGAAATAGCTATTTCGAATTTAACGTTACTCCTCGTAGAATGAGGTTTACCAAATTCAAATTAAGGGCTCCGCTATTTCGAATTAAATTTGAAATAGAGGTTTGCATGTCCACATTGAGTGGACCCTGAACTGAGGTTAAGGATGGCCGGAAGCAGTGCCGGCAGGGCATCACAGGAGGACTTAGAGCGTGGAGCTGCTGTCTCAGGCTAGCCAAGGGCTGTGCTTCAAAGGTCCCAACCCCCACCCCGGACAGACAGTTCTCAGGGGTTCCCCGCTTGCAAAGCAGTCCTGGCTTGGAGAGCCCTGAGTGGCCACACTCGGCACATCACAGCACTCGGCCATCAGCTCGGCTGCACTTGCCGCAGGCTGCCATCCGGGGGCAGGGGTGTCAATCGGGGGCCTGCAGGAGAGTTTCCACCCCGAGGAGCCCGCAGAACCTCCCCAGTCCTCCTCATCGGGGGCTCATACCCCATTCTTCCCTCACCTCCTTCCACTTACCCCTCCCTAGCCCCCCTTCCTGATGTACAAAATAAAGGACACATGTGGTCAAAAATAGAAACTCTCTTTATTTAACAAAACTGGGGGAGACTGGGAAAAGGAGGTGGGAGAGGGGAAGAGAAAGGGTGGAAGAGGGGAGGGCAACTAAAATGATCAGGGGTTTGGAACAGGTCCCATATGAAGAGAGGCTAAAGAGACTGGGACTTTTCAGCTTAGAAAAGAGGAGACTGAGGGGGATATGATAGAGGTCTATAAAAGCATGAGTGG